TGTGACAAAGTAAGATTGTCTCAAAAAAAAAAAAAAAAAAAAAAGGCAGTCTTTCACAGCATTCTTATAAACACACAAAACTTAACTTGAAGCATTTCCCAACATTTTCCTGCCCTCAAAAGAATAAATCTTGACCAAAGTTAAAAATTATACATTCCCTGATATTCACCCTATTATTTTAATATAAAGGGTGGACATAAAGTTTTCATGTGCAACTTAAAATAGTTTAAACTATTATGCCCAACCTGTATTATCCTTTCCTTACACCTCTACCTTAAAAATATTTAAAACTAGGGTGGTACCTATGGCTCAAAGGAGTAGGGTGCCAGCCCCATACGCTGGAGGTGGCGGGTTCAAACCCAGCCATGGCCAAAAACTACAAAAAATAAATAAAATTAAAAAAAAAAACAAAACAAAACAGTTCTTTCCCATTTTCCTAAGATCAAAATATCTAAAATTTGGCTGGGCAACTTTAGCTTATTCCTGTAATCCCAGCACTCTGGGATGCCAAGGTAGAAAGATTGCTGGAGCTCAGGAGTTTGAGATCAGCTTGAACAAGAGACCCCATCTATACTAAAAATAGAAAAATTAGCAGGGCATTGTGGTAAGAGCCTATAGTCCCAGATAATGGAAATACTAAGGCATGAGGATCACTTGAGTCCACGAATTGGAGGTTGCTATGAGCTACACTGATGCCACTGCACTCAACCCCAGGGCAACAGAGACTGTCTCAAAACAAAATCAAAAACTAAACTAAAATTTGACTGAAAAGCCATTTACCTAACCTATAGTCAATGCATCAAATTCCTGACATCTCCAAAATTTCCCAGGTCTTCCTTAAATAATACCAGTGGCTAAAAATCTATTACTTCCAGTGCATCTTTGGCAAAAATTCTTCCTTGAATTATTCGAGTACCTTATTTTCCTCAAAAATATAGTTTCCAGAAGAGTCCCACACATAATACATACTATTCAATTTACTTAATTTATCCAAAATTTTAATATGTATTTATCTACACATACATTATGCTCTAAATTCTTCCTTCAAATAAGATCTGCTATATAAACACTAAAACTCCATCTAAAGGAATAGCCCGAAAACCACTAGTTCATAGGAGTAATAATTCCAATTTTTGTCTTATTCTCATAAGAAAACAACTACAAGTCATACTGTTAATTTTTTTTTTTTTTTGCTTATCCTAAAGTTAAATAGTGACACCTACAATTGTAATACTCAAGTTTATGAACATTAAAATACACTCAACAGAAGTATTCTTCATATTTATTCTTATCAAAATGTTACATACCTGGTCAGCTAACATAAGTACAGTTTTCATTGTGAATCTTCTTGAACAGAAATTGAAGAGGTCTTCAAGGCTGGGTCCCAGAAGATCCATGACTAGTACATTATAGTCTTTTTCCTGACCATACCACCTAACAAAAGGAGAAAAGGAATAGGGAGGGCATTATGAAAAAGCTGCACTTAACACCAAAAAAAATTTTTTTTTTGAGGCAGGGTTTCACACTATGTCAGCTGGGCTAAGGGCAGTGATGTCATCATAGCACACTATAACCTCAAATGCCCAGGTTCAAGCAATCCTCCTGTCTCTTTCTTGGGTACCATGACTAAAATTCCTCTAGTTTTGATATATGTCATTGGGGGATAATGTTAGTGAGGGCTCGGGACCACCAGTTAGAAAAGACTGTTTTCTTAACAAATAAACACTAGAATAGTATACTCATGTAGTGAAGTTGGCATTTTCTGGAAAAATACAATTGCTCAAATATTAAATGCTAATACTCTAGTTTTAAGTTTGATTTTCTTCTTTTTTTGGACACAATCTCAACTTTGTCAACCTTGGTAGAGTGCCATGATGTCATAACTCACAGCAACCTCTAACTCTTGGGCTCAAGTGATTATCTTGCTTCAGCCTCCCAAGGAGCTGGGACTCTATGTGTCCTCCACAACACCCAGCTATTTTTATTTTATTATTATTTTTTATTAAATCACAGCTGTGCAAATTAATGCAATCATGGGGTACAATGTGCTGGTTTTATATACAATTTGAAACATTTTCACCAAACTGGTTAAACCAGCTATTTTTAGAGACGAGGTCTCGCTCTGGGCTCAGGTTGGTCCTGAACCTGGGATTACAGGTGTGAGCCACCATACCCATCCTTAATTTTGATTTTCTTCGAATCGCTGGCATATTATCAGCAAAACACTAAAAACTAACACTAGTTTTAGCAAAACTAAAAGCACTATGATTTTGACAGATTTTGTTTTTGCTTGTTTGTTTTTGAGACAGTCTCACTATGTCACTACTGGTAGAGTGCTGTGGCATCACAGCTCACAGCAACCTCTAACTCTTGGGCTTAAGTGATTGTCTTGCATCAGCCTCCCAAGTAGCTGGGACTATAGGTGCCTGTCACAACACCTGGCTAGAATAATATATTTATTTTTTGTAAAAAACAAGTCATTAGACATTATCCTTGCCTAAGTATATGAAGTTAAGACATACATAATTACTACCCTCAAAGTAAAAAGCATAAATGTTCCATTAAAAAGTTAAAAAATATACATGTTTCAAAAGTATTTTTCTCTGTGAGCAACACTGCAGCTCTAAACAATGGATTCTTTCTATTCTACAAAGATTGGCACTGTATGTGTAATTCCTTAAACCTAAGAGACAGGTGTTTCTATCTTTCATACTTCTTTTTGGTCTCAAGGAATACATAGCCTAATTCTCCAAAGCTAACACTTCACATCCTCCATCTGGACTTTCCATCTGGACTAACTCATTCAGACATTATTACACACGAATTAGGAACCTGAAATGGTCTTTTTCTTATTCAAATCCTACTTATTCTTAGTTTCTTCCTTTACTCCATGTTTTCCACTTCTATTTTGAGATTCTCTATTTTAAATCTCAACCTCTTAAAATCCAGATACCAAAGACATTTTCCTTATGTTGCCTATCCCACACTGATAGCTCTCATTTCTCAGAATTCTCAAAGTCAATGACTATTGCTCATATCTACCCCTTAACAATATTCATATACCATCATTTTAGGATTGCTGACTCTACACCTGGTAAAATAAAGCTAACTGTTTTGATTTGAATAGTCTTGACAGAATCAGAGAAATGAGCAAGTGCTAACCTAATTCTTTGCCATCATTTAAGTTTGCAGACAATCCTCTTATTCTCCCCTTTCTAGGTGCCTTCAAACTAGAAACTCAGGTCTTATCTTTAGACTTCTTTTTTAACATTAAGTAGAAAATGTAATGCTCCTAAGTGCACAGTGGTAAAGTAATGTGTATATTGTTAACTACTCCGTTTATCTATGAGACTAAAAAAAGAACTCCAGTTTGATTTGGACCTTATTCTTGCTGAATTTCAAAATATCCAAAAATGAAATGATTTAACATTCAAGGGTCCCATTTTCCATTTGTTTGTTACATATGGAAATCAGTACCTTTAGAATTCAATGGTACTTAAAAGTAGACTAAGAATTAGTTCACAATTTATACAACCATTATTACTTAATTAGAGCATAAAAAAGGTACCTCAAGTCTGAGGAAAATGCCAAGAGAAGGCATGGTCTATCTCTCTGTTCTCATCTCCTTTTTCTGAAAACCCATACCCAAACTAAATCGTTTGAAAACTAAGACATACATAAGAAGGACAAATGCAAAATGATACACGTACAAGTTAACAAAGCTGAGGAAAAATGCTAACAGAATTCAGGCAAAAGATCAATGGGAGCTCAATCTGTCTAAAGAGCTACTGTGAAAATGGTCTGCTGCCCATTAGGTCCAATAGGATAAATTGTATTTTCATAGAGAAGGCAGAAAATGTCAGTATCAAGCAGGTAAAAGAATGAATTATTTTGGACTATGGTCTCCCACAGAAGGGAAGAATCAAAGTGGCAGACAGTTTGAGGCTGTATTATGGATTCTTCAATGCAAAGCTAAAGAGATTTATATATTCTATAAATAGCTGGGGGAATTATCAGGAGGGTTTGTGGCTAAAAAGTATACAATATGGAAAAAGAAGAATAGAGAAAAGACTGACAATGACATGAGGACCAATTATTATTATATTAGAGCTAGACATTTCAAGCTAGGGGTTTTCTTCTGAGAAATCTCTTCATAAGAATATCTGAGAAAAGAAATAAAATATCTAAAAGGGGCTCGGCGCCTGTGGCTCAAGCGGCTAAGGCGCCAGCCACATACACCTAAGGTGGCGGGTTCGA